AAAAACAACCAAAGAACCCGATCAAACCTTCAAAATCCCACCCTTAGGGACTGCAGTAGTAAAGCTCCTCTGTTGGGTGGGCTTCCCCCTCCCCCTTCACCCTTCTATTCTTCAAGATGCTTAAAGCACATGCTGCTGCTTAACGGAGGTGAAGAGGAGAAAAAAGTAAACGAGCCAGCATTTGCTCCAGACAGGAATTCTGTGGCACAGCTAACTACGGAGCTGCGGTCCGTACTTCAGAGTTCAGGATGACATCCTGGCTGAACACGCACCTCAGAAGTGGCAGGCCACGTACACCCGCTCTCAGCCCCGTCTTCCCCTGCCTGTTCTATTTATACTCCAGCTTGTGGGAACAGATGGTTGTTTTCTAGGGTTCTGCGCTACATTTAATGCATCTTTTTTTTAATTATTCTCATGCTGAAGACATTACAAAACCACATTTCTGTGCTTAACTACCGACAGCTATAATGAAAATACAGTTTTACTGTAAAATTTAATAATACTCCAAACCTTTAGAGCATAGCTGCAGAGACCGAGTCAGTTACAAACTGAAGCTGCAGCTTACAGACAAATCTACAAGCAAAATGCCATGGAACAAGTCATTTTCACGTGTCAAATTTTGTGGCATAGCTTGGTAAGATGACAGGGTATTTTGGTTTCCTTGCTGGCTGAGAAAATTGCCTCCGCAACCACTGTTTTCTATTCTCATGGAAGTGCAGAAGTCCCCTACTTTCTCACTCTTCTCTATTCTACCCGTCCAATCACTGCAGGATACGCTCGTGTGTGTCTCCATCAGCCACGTCACTCTGGCCGTTCTCCCGGCCCCAGAATAATTCAGCTTCAATGGATCTGAGCCCTGCGAGCAAAGCCTAGCGTGACGGGCTGTTCTGGAGTTACTCTGTGCTGAGATTCAGTGGAGAAGGTTCCACTCACGCTGAACAGGCCGAAAGTGCATTGGGTAATGAGTGAAGGCAGGGTGGTATGTAAGGACAGCAAGGCCAGAGACGGTCACTGCTGAAGCATACGGTCCGTAGTTAGGGCAGGTACTTCAGCGCTCGTTAACAGCAGTTTGATAGATCAGGAATTTGGTAACAACTGGGTCACCTCTGCCAGGAACGCACTGTAGCTATATTAAAACATAAACGGCCGACTTTTTTTCCCCTGACAAAAGGGAGCGTTTAATCAATAGGCTGAAAAAAGTGAACATAATCAATGCTTTTTGTTACTGCAGCCTAATAATAGCCTGCAATTTCCTTTTGAACTGTACATGCTAGGTCTTTGAAAATGAAGAAATAACGATATCTGTGAAAAGACAGCCAGAAATACAGCACGCAAGCCTGTGCGTTTCCCAAGGAACTGCAGATCTCCTGCAACCCCATGGTGGCAACTCTCCTGAACAGCATGACGAGACTTCTTTCATTTTTAGTAGCACTTGGCACGGTTCTGACAGCTCACAAGGTGATGACTGCACTGACGCTGGCTCCTGTGGGTTACACCTAGCCATTGCTAACTTTTGAGGGAGATGGAAAATAAGCAAATACTCTAAATCAGTTACTTAAAGCTCTACAAATTTCCACTCCACCCACAGTGAGATGTCAAATACCATCTCTTAAGTATCTATTTCTGTGGGTGCAAAGTTTCCTTCGGCACTGCACATCGTTCTGCCAGAGCTATCAAATAAAACACGAAACCTACTGGATACACAAATCTACCACCCATTTCGGTAACGTTTTCTACATTCAGCTGCTCTAACACCACCTCAAGGGATACCCCACAGAAGCACGGTTTCCAACCACGGGAGAAACAGCATCACCACACCAGGCATTTTCCACTGCAGCTACACTCAACCTGTGAAGCTGGCGAGAAGGAAAACCCGGACTGCCTCAGTTTTTAACTCTTGGGTCACGTCACCGTAGGTGGCTGGAATTCACCTTTCCTACATCTATTGAAATGAAAATTCAATTTTGAATGGTGGTTGAAATTCATCTTTCCTACACAGCACTGCACATACTCAAGACGTCCTACAACTGCAATTACAGCACTGCTCAAGGAGACAAGCACAGGACATGGAAACGCCCCACAACAGCTACAGCAAAGGCGGTAATTCACGTAAAAGCAAGCTGGGAGATAAGCACTTGGAACCACCTTGAAATACAAGGAGAAGATAGACTTGAAAGGAACCCTTTAGTTGAAGAAAATTAGAAATACAACAATTAAACCCTAAAAAGCTTAGGTGAAGATACAAAGTAGCAATCCAAAGCACATTTTTTTTTTAAGAAAGCTTAAATGATTTTTAAAAGGCATTTCCCAACCCAGCAGCATGTAAACAGCAGAAGGGGAATTTGCCACTGGAAGGCAGGTGCTCTGATGTTTCATTTCACAACAGATTTCTAAACTGGAGCCACTGGTCCCAGACACACTCTTTACCGGACGTCTGACCTTGAACTCACACAGAAAATCCATACAGAGCCGACAGGCACCAACCACTCTGAACGCCACAGGCAGCGTAGCCATACCTGATGGTGCTGGGAATCATCCAGTGTCTTGAAAACCATGGCTACCATCCCGTGAGCTCTCAGATGCATTCGGAAGCTGGGCATGGCGCACTTGGTCGCCAAGCTGATTACACTGGAGAAAAGGATTTCTGGATTAGAATGACGATGAACAGATTTACAAAAACGGCAGATAAACAAGTCTACAGCACGTGACTGACCATAAACCTCAGACCCTGACAAAGTGTTGGAATGCTTCTTCCAGGAATTGCATAGGCGGGTTAGTAACTGGTGAACAGGGCAGCATTTATCAACAGCTGCCTACCAGCACCAAACTGCGCCTGCTTTACCGCTGGCTAGAAACAGGATTTGAAAGGGTACCCTGAAGTTGAAATAATTTCTAATGGTTCAATTGAAAGTAAGGTGTTCATGGATTAGGCACGAAGCTCTGGTTTAGAGGCAGAGGAGAGCTTATTACAGATCAAGACATGACCAGAAACCATTCCTGTGAGCTTCCATTGCTAACAGTTATCTAATCGCCTGGTCAGCCCCTCTGATGCCTGACAACACTTTCACAAACGAGCACATATTGTTAGTATTTATTGCTGCATTTACAGTCTGTGGAAACACTGTAATTCACAGGAAAAATCTGACAAATATATTGGCCTAATCGATGATCAGCATAACAGAATAGAGGGCTTCTCCTACGTTTATCAGCAAGCTGTCTGCCATTTCTAGCAGAGTGCAACATATAGACTACTAAAAACATCTTGCTTTTAGACGTGCAGTAGTGTGGGAGTGATCCTGCAAACAACTCTGCCATGACTACTTAAGAATAAGCATCTTCTTGTAAAAGATTCATGGGCTACGGTGTTTAAAGAACAAGTGCTCGTTCTGTCTCCAGTCACACCACCACCCGTCAGAGCTTACCTACTGGCTTCTGATTCTTTACGTCTATTCCTATCCTTACACACTGATTTCCTTTAGAAAAACACTTTTCTTTTAATTTGTTAACTGAAAGAAAAAATGTTTATGGTGTTTATACAGAGTCAGTTTAAGATGCCAGGAAGCTTGCCGTATCAGCAAGTTAGGAGACGTCAACATGAACAACACCCCTCAACTGTCGCAATGGCATGAATTTATTCTTACCATAATGTACGCACAAACTGGGTAATAGATTTCTTGTGTTTACCCTCCAGCAACAGTATCTGTTGCTAGTTTTTGAGGCAGTAACACAAAGAATAAATGTGTAAAATAGGTCTCCTAAAAGCGTATAAAGCTTTTCCTCATCCACAGTCAAACCGCAAGTGTCCTCACCACCCGCCCCTGTGGATTCAAGTTTTTTTTTCTCTACCATTATAGTTTTGCTACACAGAGAGGAAAATTTACAAGTATTAAAAAGATTATTACATGGTTACAGAACATCATTCTAATTACTTTTATGTCCAGGGAATGGACACCAATATTGTCAAACTTCCTCAAAGCAAGACTTAAGTTTTTGGTACTAACTTCACAATTACGTGTAACTTGAGAATAAAGAGTGTAACGAGTAGTTCAAGACCACTTAGGGAAGCTTCCAGTTAATATGAGGCCACAATACCTCCAGTGGCTGCTATATTTATTATTTCTCAGCAGAAGATAAAGAACAGGTGGTTGGAGTTAAACACTCTCTCAGTACTACATGAATTCCAGACTATAGCCAGCAAACTTCCCAGTTTTAGGGATTTTTTTTTCTTAGAATTCAGTTTTGCATTAGAAGACAGAACCAACACCGCACATAAGATGGCATTAAACAAAGCGAAGTTATCAGAAAGTACTTTTTTTTCAGTTTGTGGCAAGGAACATGAGTGCACTGAAGATGCCTCTTACTGTCCAATATTCTACTGCATCTTCCGAGACATACTACTTTTGGGTTTTTTCACAATATGTATCTTCATGATTATTTTCAAACGTTGCTCTTTACAGCAGAAGTTCCAGGTGACTCCCCAAACAACATTTTCAGGCATGGTCATTTCGCTGACGAGTATTTAATTCAACACCCCTTCTGATGTAAGTTCAGTGCTTTACATGAAGATCTTACCTAAGGCAACGTGTGTTTAGGGGCTGATTGCTCTTCAATCCACTTAGCAAGTACTCAATATCATCGGTGAACTCTTGATTTTCACCAAACTCCACTACATCATTGAAGTGCTTTACATGCTGAACAACAGTGTATAACTGGAAGAGACAAATATTTTGACCTAGGTAAGTTGCTCTTGGGTATCACCATAACCATAACAAGTGCAGTTTAAAAACTATTCACTTTGGAGCATAAGGAAACATTAAGTAGTTAATGCAGGCCATTCAACTATTTACATAAACAGGTTATCTTTAATAGGAAAGCCAAATCTCATTTTGACACTGTTCCTTCAGTACTTAGGGTTACTGATAATTCTTTATCTTAAAAATTTGTTAAAAATACTTACTTCTTTGTCTTCTTTCCTACATTTCAATGCAGTTACTATCTCTTGATAGGGCTGAGTAGGTATTGTCACAGTTTTTATCACTTTGGGAGGTGGTGCAGGAGCCTTAAAAACTCCATCATCTTTATGAATTGCCTCCTTTGAAGATAGCCTTACCTATTAATAAGAAAGTGCTAAAATGGGCAGATGTTTTTAGCATGTAAACATACACTAAATACATCAGGAAACAGTACAGGTCCGCAATTGTCAAACTCACATTTTGGGACTATTTGGTCCTTGCCTTACGCTACCAAGATGTACCTAAGCTGTGTGATCATGTACCTACTCTCAAGATAAAATTAGGCTGTCAGAAATTATATGCATATTTAATGACAAAAACCAGCTCTAAGGAGCCAGGAAAGCTCCAGTGGAATTCAGAAACTAAAAAAGCAAGCAAAAAGGAGTCGTCCTTTACACTGATTCCCTAAGCTTTAGGGTAAGCAAACCAACCAAGTTAGTGTTTCAAAACAACGGTTTGTGGATACTTACAAGTCTCTTACCCCTTGGCACTGGAGCTTCCAGTGCTGCCCATGTTGGTTGCCACACTGACCCATCAGTACACTCTGGGTACGAGCACAGCATTGAGCCGTCACTGCCTCAACACGGCCTGACTGAGCAACTCTGGGCCTCCTGCTCCCATGTCTAACTACTGGAGGCTGCACACCACTGTACTCAGGGTGTAACCCTCCAAAAACAGACCTCACTAACCTGGTACTCCAAATTGTCTTCTGCCTGTAGGTAGAAGAGTACCAACAAAAATTTTGTAGCCCCACAAGAGATTGCCACGCAGAGCAATCAGACAGGCACAGTGCATGCCTCAAACAAGCACAGCATGCTCTCATTAATTCATGGTGTTCGCTGTACACTGGCCGCGATGCTGTTTGCATTGTTAATATTTTAGGAACAACGTATTATTGCACAAAATACAGGAAAACCTATTCTGAACTCACAGCAGGTAATAGGGAACTCGATATTACGTCTAGAATAACTACCGCCAAGTTTCCAGCCACCTCAGGCAAGTATTACAGGTTTTTCCCCAACCTACTCCTCTGTATTAGTCTGAGGTTAGTATAAGCTGAAGTGTCAGCTTATCTTCAGATTACTCCTTTGGCACAAAATCAGATGTGAGGACAAGCTACAGAAAACAAGGCATTCAAGAAAAAGACCTCCAAAAGCCATTTTCTAAATGTACAAGTCCCAGTGCCCGGGGCCACGTGCTCACCCTCAATCGCTAAGTAACATCCTGCACTTAGTTTCCTCACACAGAAGGATGAGAATTTTTTTAAAGTTCTAAAAACCAGAATTCTGAAAAATCAGAATTACTGTGCAGGCACCGAGGATGCGTTAACTGTTCCTCACTCAGGGGGTGTGTTGAGAGCAAGCCTTAACAACCTGCTGTATTAGCAGAGTGTTCCTGACACGCTGGCTCTGCCGCTGCGCAGCCCCTCAGCACTGGCTCACCTTGGCTCCAGAGGCAAATGCCAACAGGCCGCCGCGCAGAGCTGATTTACAGCATGTGCACACCGGAGGATCTGATCTGAACTTGGCAGTCTGTGAACACGGGGATCCACTGAAGCACCTCATCCGAGCCTGGCTTAATGGCTTCCCCTTCCAAGCAAATTCCAAAGGAGCTCAGAGGGGCCGCAAGAAAGGGTACTTGGCACAAGGAGTTGGCATGCTATGTGTTTCGCACCCATAATCGAAGACAAATTCATCCAAAATTTCAGGTAACAAATTTCCACAGAACTTAAAGAGGCAGAATCATCTGCACAGGGATTCCCACTGAACCTCTGGACCAAGGCTCATTTATCTTGCAACTCTTAAATCTTAACGGTACACTTGGAAGGTTCCAAAAGTGACTGAGAGAACTTCAAGACACAAATTCCCGCAACTGGTTTGTTCGGGCGAACCTGTGCCATATTCCTGAACTAGTATTTTCATGGTTCCAGTCACCACGTAGGAGTTTGAGAGAAGACAAAATGGCTCGTCTGAATATGCATGATCCAGACATTTTCCTAGCCTGAAAGGGATATATTCCAAGTCTGAGTTGGACAAACATCTGCCTTTAAGGTTGGTATCGGAGTGCTTCACAAACATCAGGCTCAATACAATGATTCAGTAAGCAACAGAGGCTTCAGTTCAAGGACACATAATTTAAACTGATAAATGGGTTTAGGAGAAACCCAGGGCTGAAGTTGCCGCCTTCTCCTCGAACAGGAGTGCTAATGGTGATGTTAAAATGCACCATCTGTGTTCTCCAGGCGCTGCAGTTAACACTGAAGGAAGGCTGTTCAGAATATGGTGAGGATGCAACCGTAAATCAAAGAGGAGCTAGTGTCAGAGCAGCACACACAGAGGTGGAATTAAAAAACAGCCCCAAACCCCTGAAACTGGCGACAACAACAAGAGCTGATGACTTTGCACTGCACCAGTATGTACCTTGTGATTTTCTGTTCTCAGGGAAGGGCTGTCAGCAAGGCCCCAAATGAACTGAAGTTTACTGACAACGTGCAGTGCTCCCTTAGCACAGCCAGTAACAACTTCTACACAGACCGAAGCCCAAGACCCTGCATACTCAGCGTCCCAAAGGAGTTAAAAAACACTTAGCTCAAGCCTGGGAACAATCACTGGTTTTTGAACAAACATTTTAAGACCTGTTTTCATCTCTTGTCTACTGTTCGTAGCCATGCTTGTGTGTGCTTCGTTCATATCAGCATTTCTGGCTGTGTACAGAAAATGCTGTTTCCTTCCTAGCTTCTGAAGCCTCAAGTCAGCGGTTCATGATACTTCACTCCATCAGAAAGGAAAAATAAATGAAATGTCTCCTTTTTTAAGTTTTTCCTTTTTGATTTCCATGGGTATTAGTAAATTAATCCTAGGGGTTCTCACAGAAGATGAAATGGACTCCATGGTTAGAAAGCTTAACTTCAGCAGAGGAGCGAACATAACTTCAGTGAAGGTTTTTTGTGTATCTGCACACTGAAATGAGATGGAAGATCCCGTTCTAGAGTACTTCCAGTGACTATTTTTTTTTT